TGCTGAGATTTTGAATACGCTCATTGTAACCTGGGCTAATAATTAAATGCAAGTCTTAGTGGAGCTTGCTAAGACTGTTGTCACGTTACATGGCCATCTGTGTATGTGTGTGTGTTTGTTTGATTTATTGTGTATATAAAAATTTAAATAAATCATTTAATTATGAAAAGTTATCTATTTAAAATCGACATTTCGTTAGTTGTAAAAGTTATAAGCCTTCCAGTTTCTACATGTAAATTTTTATGGAGAAATTTTGCCATTGTTATTGTATCACGTGTTTTCAACTGACTTGTAACAAACTGCCGGGTATATGCAATTCGGTAGTTTTATTTAATAACAAAGCTAATATTTACTGATTATTAAAATTTAAAATAAAACATCAAGAGATTAAAAATATTTGTAATTTAAATATTATTAGTTTAAAAAATGACAAAACGTTGGATTAGCTCACAGATACATAGCAAATTCGCCAAAACCTACCACAAGCCACTTCAGCAATTCTATTACAGTGTTGCCAACTTAATTTCAACTTAAATTATCCGAATATTATTATTTGATCATGTAATGCATATATATAAACCCTATATTGCATAAATAAAAAATAAATAGAATATTAAAAATAATTTGGCAAACAATTTCAACAATAATCAGAAATCACCGACAGACATAAATCGAGCCACGATATAATTGTCAAGTGAGACTTTTTTTAAACTCTTATAGCAAACTCGCTGAGTTCTACCAGGCCCACATGAGTGCAGCGAGGGACGAGGTCCTACGTATCCGAACGGATTGCTCCCAGAAAAATTCCTGAGGATTTTTCGGCCCGTCCGGATTCGATCTCGGGTACTCTAGAGCGGTAAGCTGTTACGTTGACCACTCGGCCAATCTGACCTTCGATTGAGTAAGGACCAACGCCATGAATTTTGAAAAGAATGAAAATGCTTAATCAAATATAAGTATGTTTTTGTGTAACTAATTCATTCTATTTTGGTTACTTTTTACGTTTTTACATGAAATACATTACTAGATATTATTTATTAAAGTTTACTAATGATAAAATTTAAAGATTATGTTTTCTTTTATATTGTACTAGCAGATATGACCGGCGTTGCCCGAGCAAAAAGTAAAATCAACAAACATTAAAATTAAATTAATTAAAATCATATTAACAATGCCGAATAAAGGCTCTAGCGAGCCTTAGACAAAATTTAAATTGGGGCCCATTTAAATAATTTGCTTCTAAAGAAATCTTAAATAATGTCACTTAAATTTTTTATTAATAATACAGAAAAACAAACACTAACACAATAATATTTATATAATAAGAGTTTCTAGAATAATAAAAAGCTATATAATTACAGTCATTAATCAGCCTTTAAAAAATTAAAATTTGTCGTTTTCGGATTTTCATTTCAGAAAATTGATTAATAATATTTTTGCAATCTAGTCGTTCGAGAAAATCTTTTTCTATAGCAAGCATTACTAAAGACTAGTCTACTAATTTCCTGTCCTATTGAATTTCTTAAATAATTTTTAACTCGTTTTAAAACTGAGAAAAAAAATATTTCTCCTGTCACATTACTTATAGGCATAGTTAAGTAAATTCTTAACAATAGCGAGGTTGCGGCCGAAGTTTTCATCTCTAAAACGTGAACGTCAAACGTCGAGCGCTGCTTACAAGATAGCGGCGCTCTACGTTCGACGTTCACGTTTTAGAGATGAAAACTTCGGTCGCAATTTCGCTAATATTTTGGTATTGTATTAGGAAAAGACGATGCAATTTTACTTTTTATGAACTGGTACATATCTTTCGAGCTTAGCAAATTTTGTTTTCTCGCCATTAAAATAATTAGACGATGAGCTGATAATCTCTTCAACATCGATGTCATTGAAGTAAACTTTTTATTTCACTCGTATAATCCGATACATTCTTTAAACTTTCAAATTCTGTAAAAAAACCACTTTAAATATTTTTGTTAATTTCTTGATACTTTTGTATTTCGCATCAATTTCGCTACAAATAAACAGATTTTAAAATAAATACGTTCTGACTACTAGTTAAATTGATATCTTTATTTGTTTGGTTTTCTAGGTCTTTCTTGAGTATTAGCGTCAAATTTGACATCGGATATTGCCAATGCCTCATTTTCTATTTCGTTATATTTACTCCTTAAATCATGTATGTGTTGCGATAAACTTTGTAGAGAACTTATACAAGTCGTTCAACTCTGCTCCTCCAAGATTAAATCTTGAGTGTACCATTGACAGGAATCGATGTTTTTCAACAGAAACTTCATTGACTTCTGCTTTCCGAGAAAAGAATTCAATTCAAGGCATCCAAATTTTTTCACAGCCGAATATGAAATAATAAAGTCAACCAATCAAATTTCGCGAAAAATGAACCAGATATTTAAACTCAGTACCCACGAAAACTCATAAAAACATATTTATGTTTGATTGCAACTTTTTAAAATTAAATTAATAATTACAGAATCATTTCTAGATGATCTCGGCCGATCATTTTCGTTTTCGATTCGAATCTTTAGATTTAATTGTGGATCTGCAGTGAGCATTTTCTTTTTTTCGCATACATAGTTTAGATTTTAGTCTTCATTTTCATTTCGCATACATAGTTTAGATTTTAGCCTTCATTTAGATTAATTGTAAAATTTCTTTTTTACAGGATGAAGATCTTCGAGTGGATCCGCAGGATGTTCCGATGGAAGAAAGCGGTGGCACTGGAGGGAAGGAGTTCCTCAGACGCGGTACGAGTCTCTTCGACTCATACCCCGTCCGAAGAGATGTCCGAGGATGAGGAGCTCGACTGGATTTTTGACGAGCCTACTCGTTCGGTGTCGGAAGAGATCGTCGAGCAAAAGACAACAGTGGACGACCTTTCCAGGTATTTATAGTGCGGGATTTTCCCGGAAGCGGGAAAGTTTTCAGTCTATTTCACTTGGCGAAAGTCGTCAGAGTTTAACCCAGTCGGCTAGAGATGTCGTTCTGGAAGGTACAGAGTGTGACAATTTGTCTGAGTCCTTTTCTTGAAGTTTGTTGTCATTCCCTCGTTTCGTGAGTTCTGCCACTTCGTATGCGACACAGATGCAATCGTCTTCTGAAAGTCGGAAGAGGAAAGAATCGGAAGAGAGAGTCGCCGAAGTCAGGAGACTGTGGTGGTGCAGGTATCTGCGGTTTTGTTGATACGGGTGACTGCGCTCTCTTTGGCGTAGGCGGTGAACTTCGATTTTCTCCAACTCGTCCTTTTTGTATCCTGATGTGACACTACTATTTTTCATCTGGAGTTGACTTCTTTACCCGGACGTGACAACGGATTTGATTCCCGAATGTGACACGTTTCATCACTGGACGAGATAATGGATTGACCTTTATTTTTAAACAGATGTTATGAGGATGGAGCTTTAGGTTAGGTCAGGTCTTTTCATAACACTATTCGGGAAAAAGACGGCTCATTCTTTTTCTGATAAAAAGGTAATTAATTATATTGACATGTAAAAGGTAATTGTGTAGATAAAAAACGAATAGATCGACTTCTCATTATCTTTGTTTTTTGTAGAATATTTAGATTAAGAATCAAACGACCAAGACAACAATACTCTTATGTTTTAATATTAAATTAACTATAACAAGCGAATTTATTTTCCTTACATGAAACTAAACTGTTGTATGTGGGTCTATAGTATTTTTGTGTGTTCGTTGTTTTAGTATTAATCTTACCGTACTGTACAATTATTTAAAAACAAGAATTAGTCTTTATGTTATGGAGATATCTAACTAAATAGTGTTTTTTCCGTTACTTTTCAGGTGTACACAGTAAGCCTTACCGACGATGAAATGCCTAAAAGAAAGTCACAATTCTCACGAAATACGTCCGTGTCAAGGACGTATTTCGTGAGAATTGTGCCTTCCTACTGATTTCATCTCCCCTATAAACTCCTTTGACCAATCAGGATCAAATTCCGCATAGTTAATTAATCTTTGGTACTCTACAGGAAACATTGAGTACCATAAAACTTGTACCCTCACTCCCCTCTGATTTCATCCCCTATCCCCAAACTTGGAGACCGTTTGGGCAATCTTGACAAATTTTGTATAGTTACTATCTACATTCTTCCAAAAATGTACGCTACTTTAAAATTCAGACCCTAACTCCTCCTAATTTCATTCTCCACAAATTGCAAAACCCTTTGATTTGCACCAAATTTTGCATAGTTAATATCTGTCTTCCTGCGAAATAAATACGCTACCTTATAACGAGGACAGCTCAATCCTCTTCGAATTCCCGAGCAACGCTGGGCATTGGTTGCTAGAAATTTATTTTTTTAAAATCCTTTTATAAACTTTCTACAAAAACTATTACTGAACAATAAAAATTAATGCTTCTAGTCCTTTATTATTTTACTAATGTTAGAAGCATTAATCAATTAAACGAGATTTAATATTCTCAAGCTGGAATGCTAATAAAACCGAGGAAGAAAATAGCGGGAAAAAGAAGTTGAAAAATTAACAGATGCAAATAAAGTTTATTCTTTTGAATCAGTAGACTAATTCAATTTCTCTAATTTCACCCGCAAGTTCAATCAGTATAAGTCCTATTAATAAATTATAGTCACAATAGACTAACATTAACATTCTCCCTCGCGGGGGAATTTTCAAAAATCCCTTAGTGTGCATTCTCATGGCGTAACCTAACCGTGTACCAAATTTCAACTCCTAACAGTTTGGGCTCTGCGCCTATTATCATCAACCCAATTTATAGATTGAAATGTTCCACACTTTCTTCTAACGGTAAAACAATGATTATTAATAATCATTTGAAAAATCAAAAAACTCATTTGTTCTTTAAATAATTATATATTGATATTTCTATTTCAATATTCCATACTTCTATTTAAAATATTCGAATTTTTAAAAATAAAATTATCTTATAATTGTTGTAAATTATATGAAACATTAAGAAAAACAATAAAAAACATTTTATTTTTTTATTATTTTTATTTGTTAAGATAATTTTTTACGAAACAATTAGTAAATGTATCAACGACTATGTCTTCATTCATTTCCTCATCTTGTCTGTCATTATATATCTAAGAAAGCATAATAATAATAATTAGCATTATTATAAATAAATTCGTAAAAAAGCATTATAAAAACAATATGAAGTATACAAACTTCAGTAAAAAATTAAAATTTATAAACATTTTGTACTAATTCTTACCAAACGTTTTTCTCCGAAGCATTTTGCAATCTGAAATAAATTAAAATGTGTTTTACCAATGATATAACTAATAATTGATCGTGAAATTTTAGGAATCTTACATTTTGTAATAACGATTGATCTGCACAAAAGTAATACACTAGAGCTATCTTTTTGGTGGAAATTCCTGTTTCGGTTATAACGCAATCGGCTAAGTCTAAGTATAACTATAAATGCATTAAATATATATATCCTAAATTGCTAATAATTTAAATTGTTTTGATTGTTTGGAAGACAAATGTCTACTATAACACAGAAATTAAAATTCAATATTAAAGTGATTTAAAAATTCATTATATATGTATATGTTTCCATTTANTTAATTATTACAACAGAATTCTTCAGAGCCATAAGACTGAGGAGCAATATCTTTTAAAAACGTAGCAATTGTTATTATAAACAATAAAAATTTCATGTTTATTTAAAACATGTGCCGTTGTCAAATCATTAAATATGAATATTTTCTGTTCTTTATCTTGTATTCAAAAAGACTTTTGTAGTGGCTTTAAGACTTACGATTACTATGAATTAAAGTAAAATCGTAATCGAACCGGATGCAGGTGTTGCTGAAAACGGATATAGGCCTATCATTGGAGGTCATTCCTAAAAAATTAAAAATTTTTAATATATATATATATTTATGCATATTGGTTTTACTTATGATGCGGGGAATACGAACTTATCCAAATTACAAAAATCAATAAACAAAAAAAAACAGTAATACTATAATGAATTATTATAGAAAATATGTATACATAAATTTACAAAACCGACAATAAATAATAAATTTAAATACATATACCAAATATAATAAGAACTCGAGTTAATACACCTATTAAAATCCAAGATATAATTATCAAAATAATTTAATTTCAATAAACAGTAACAGTTATAATTTTTTAATAATTCATCGAAATTAATACAGTTATTAACATAGTTATTCCTTAGATTTTTTGTCCACAAAAAATATTCTTATTTAAAAACAAACACCTCCTACTCCATCGTTTCTCATCCAATTCCATTGTTCTGATAATCCAATTCAGATACTTATTTAAAAAAAAAGGAAAAGGCAATAACAAACACTCCATAAAAATTAAATATATTTGAGTACACAGAGATAAATCAAATAATTTTTTTTAATAAACATAGCAAACACCGAATCTAAAACATCATCAGATTGATAACACCATACCTCAGAAGTATAACAAATACGAATAACTGAATTAAAAATCCTCAGACAATAGCTCATATTACATGACTTATTAAGATGTGTAACTCGGCTACCAGTTTTAATATAAGCATTCCTTTTAGAAATCTGAATTTGAGAATTATATTTTCTATTTAACATGAATATTACACCTAGAAATTTATATTGCGAAACTACTTTTATTGTATCATTTCTAAACCACCATTTACACTTAGAAAATTTACCTCCATTACGAAAAACAAACAACTTTTAGATTTTAAAAAGATTCAAACTTCATTATTTTCTAGTAAATACTTATATAAAATATTAATAAATCCCTGTAAACCTCTAACGGAATCGGCAATCAAAACAATATCATCAGCATATGATGTCAATATTTTAACACTAGTACTGTTCACATCAATACCTTTATAATCTTAATTATTTAGCCATCCAATTAAAATCATTTAAATACAAACTGAACAAAACAAGACTGAAAACACTTTCTACCTGTAGCTGCGAAAAAGAACCGGGAGCAAAAAGGGCCCCGTTTGATTGCCTATATAATTCTGCAAGCAAACAAACAAATTTGAAACTCAAGACCATATTTTAAAAGTTTTCTCCACATTAAATTTCTATCTACAGTATCAAAGGCCGAAGACAAATCCACAAAAAAGCATATCCTTTACGCCTTTTTCTCATTAGCGTCTTAGTGATGAGAGTATGCAAAATAAAAAAAAACATCTATAGTAGAATATTTTTCTCGAAAACCAGCCTGATTATCAAATAAAAAATATCATTTAAATTTAACCAGGTTACTAACATAAAATACAGTATACTATAAAACAAATTTGACACAGGTTAGCAAAGAAATTTCGCTATAATTACTAGGAATCAATTTAGAGCCATACTGGACACAAAAGGGCACTATCCCAATCCTCCGGCACTCCCAGTACTCAAGATTCTATCAAAATGTTTAAATAATATCGGAAAAAACGGAATCCATCTTCCAAACTTCCGAAGGAATACCAACAACACCAAGCGTAGGACCAACTTTTACTTTACTTAAAACGTAACTCAACTAAAATTCTGTAATATCTGCATCCAAAGTTTCATTACACCAAGGTACACTCATTAAATACTGTATAAGGAAGCAAAGAACCATATAGAGAACAAAAATATGTAAACCACACTTCCAGAGAAATAGTCACTATTGATACTATTATTAATTTCTAATTTTACAGATTCCAAAACCATCTATTTTTGAGAAAAATACCAGAATTCTGTGCCATATACAAACTTTCTTCTTGGCTGAAGAAATTTTCTTAACTAAAACTACGAAATAAAACAAATGTTTTACGATGTAATTCTGATCCACCTTTCTTAAAAACACGCCAATTTTTATTCCTTATCATTAGATGACAATCTAAATCGAACTAATTATTAATATTAATGTGATATTTTGGTTTAAAATTCATATTGTAGTAATTAGCTATCTCTGACTTACGCGAGATAAAGAAACAGGCACTCTTCCTGACAGATATTTCTCAAGATCACACACAGAACACATCACCTCGCAGTTCCAGAAAATTCTATTTCTTAAAAAAATATCACTATTATTCACTTGAAGTTGCAATGGATTGTCCAAAACACAATGCAAAAGGAAAATGATCCGAAAAAACAACAACAAAAAAAAAAGTAACACAACCCTAAAACATGGAGTTATTAAACCAAAATCAATAACAGGAGATCCCAAATTAGAAACAAATGCATGTTCGCCTGCTTCATCACCTAACATTCTTCCATTTATTATTAAATTTTTCTGGAGGCAATATTGAAGTATCTTCTGACCTCTACTATTCACGATAGCATCCTTGGATACCCTACATCTCGCAAGATTAATATGAAAGGCATCACAGATGCAGTCAGACAACATTTCCTTCACCCACCCGAGCATTAAAAAAAATCCCCTAAAACAAATCAAATTAGAGTATTCATTAAAGTAAAAATGAATTAACATCTCAAAATTTCCTACCAACTTTGTTCTTGCATGTAAACGAAACAAAAAAATTCACCCACGAGAAATATTTTTAGTTTTGATTTAATATCTCTGTAAATTACTTTAAAAGTCAAAACATACTCTTGTAAACAACAACCATCCAGCATTAAATCTACCCCTAAATGCATCATCAAACCAAACTGACAAATAATTATTCTAGGTTTATCTCCAAATTTGTTACCCGCTCGTCTAGCATCTACATACCGCAACAATGGTATATTCAGCTTATTTGTAGCAAAAGATTTAACTACCTCCAAAGTGTCTATGGCCGATTCTCCAGCCCCTTTCTCTAATCCGTGTACCAATAACTCTTCGCTGATTATCAATATAATTCATCTCTCGTTCCACATTCGACAATTTCTTGCGGATATTATCAATAGAGGGAAAAAACTTCCCTTCTCCGACCCAACCGAACCTACCCTTGTCTCAATATCAACTAATTTGGCCTCAAAAATCAACGAGTGCCTCATCCACATTCTTAATCAATTCCGCGAGATATTCAAGTCGCCTTATAAACTCCTCCACTTTACTATTAAGAGCAACATGCATGCTCAATAATAACCGAACGTCAAAGCTCTGATTATGTAATAGTCCCACAACTTCCTCATCGTGGCCGGGACTACCCATTCTAGGCCTACTTGGTATTCTCTCCGGAACAGTCGGGGAAAACGTCTTCCTCTTTATTCCTTGAGACATAATAAACAGAAGAGCTTACTTACCTAAAAGCAGTAGAAAAATTTACACGTCAAGACAGCGGAACACACATTTAAAGAAATAAATAACGTCTCCTATGCGCAGAACCACATGATACCAAATGCAAATTAAAACAAAATTAAGCGCCAATCTATTCAAATGACCAACAATAAAGTCCAAAAAATCTTTCAAAAGAAACAGTAGAAAAACCAAAAAATACTTTTACGTAATTTTGAATAATAAACACACTTAACTATCACGTAATACGCATCTAAAGACTGATCTCCTTTGCAATATATGCAAATATCTCTGCAATAACTCTAAGAGCAAAAGAAAAATTAATTATCACGTCAAAACAACGTGTAGTCTCCCCATATTTATATATTTACTTTTTATTGAGATTGATTTTAATGTAATATTAATAATTGTCATTGAATCATAAAAATTCAATTGTTATCAGCGTTTCGAATTGAGATAGTATATCGAAAAATATTAGCAATTTAAACATTTTAATAACTTACATACATAAATACATACATATTAAACACATTTTAATAACTTACATACATTTCTCTAATAATTTACTTTTCGAAATTTAATCGTTTTCATATAATTTTACCATTTTATTCCGACTAGACTTCTCTCTGGCTCCCCAAAAGTTGATTTTTGGCACGTGAATCCCTTGAAATATTCTGTGGATCCCGGTTAAGAAACACTGGTATACACAAATATTAGTTACAATAAGTCTCAAATGATGGCGCTGCTGGTTATTTTTAAATCTAACAATGTAACTGTTTTTATCGACATTAATTATAAACTCATTTAATTTAAATATTTTTTGTAATTTTTTATTAATGCAATAATTTTAAAGAATTATTAATAAATTTATTTCACATTTATTTTATTCTGTGTAAATTTTTAATTTAAATTAAACGTAAATACTTTTAGTTATATTATTTTTCTTTTCAGTGTATTAGTAATAAAGCATTAATATAATGTAATATAAGAATTTTGATATTAACAATATGATAATCTATAGCTTATGCCTTTTTTCATATGATATAACCTGTATTTTGAAACATTTATATTGTGTCATATCTTGGCCTATTGATTGTTTCTTGACCATGTTGTGTGTGTTTCGTGATAGTTTTCATATGTCTGTAAGCAGAGCTCAATGCAAATATGTCTGTAAGTTCAATTAGAATCGGATTATATATGCGAAAACAGTGCGCCATTTTTTATAGCAATATTTTAAAATACAGTCGACCCCCTATAACACCTTATATATCCGTTTTATATGAATTCCGTGTTGTACGAGTCACTTAGATTTTACAAATACGTGTGCCGGGCTGTGAACGGCTCACGTATTTGTAAAATCTAAGTGATTCGTACAACATGGAATTCATATAAAACGGAATTATCAACAGTGTTATGGGGGATCGACTGTATATAATTTTGCTTAGGTTTTAATAGAATATAAAATTCGCCAAGCAATTTTTTTAAAATTAATTTCGAATAATACTTAATAATCAAATATAAATAATACAAAGTTTTGTTGAACTGTCATAATTGTGTTGTTCAAGAAATTCATGATCTTGCAATATAAAACGCTGTTTTGTTAATACATACAGTTTTTATTTTTAAAATATATAAATATTTTATTTTTGTTATTTTATCACATCAGCTGATTATATTACGCTTTCGGTCAGTTCATTATGAATACGTTTATTCTCCCAGATCTTTATGTCGTGCCCTCAAAAAAAAAATTGACTCTATTTAAGTCTCCCCTCTAGTAAAAAGCACGCGGATTCAAAACGCCAAAAGTGCATTAGTAATGACTAGAGGATTTGATCCCGGGATCTCGAAAATCGGGATCCCGGGATCCCGACCACTTTTCAGTCCCAAAATTTTCGGGATTAAGTTTTCCTAATCCCGAGATTTTCGGGATTGACATCATTTTAAAAAAAGTGCAAAATAGACTGCATGAAGCGAAACGTTCAGTGCCAGTGCTTTTAACAGAATTGCTTGCCTATCATTTTAATATAAAATACAAGAAATTTTATTCCAAGCAAGCAGCAGAAATTAACCTAGCGGGCTTGCGATGCTTGCTTGGAATAAAACTTCTTGTATTTTCA